ATATATATACTATAATTATGTATATATCTCCAGATAATGTGGCAATGGAGGCTATGATAGTATTGAAGGAGAATAGATCGTTGCAACGGTTACTTATTTTTATTGATATATCAATGCAGCCATTTTGTGATTTGTAATTCGCACATTAGATCAACACACATGTATATTGTTATCCACCATTGCTTTTATTTCAATCCTTACAACCAGGGTTACGAACGGAGTGACATACTTTGGTCTCACCCTGACTTCCTCAAGTTTGGCTGGAGACCGATTCGTGAATTTTCTCCTCTACGGTTTGGCGGAATGGCCCTCACACTCTGTTGCTTATTTCATGCTGAGAAGGTAATTCCGCTCACTGCTATGGGTTTTTAATAGAGTTTTATTATGGAAAGAGTTATCGCCACCTAAAAAATTGTGCTTCACGCGCATCCCAAGGGAGATAACGAATAAGCTCAGATGATCAATTAAATAGTAAGAAAACCATTTTATTACTTCCCTTGCAAATGTAGCTTGTTCTTGCATGCGAGCAATTATCTTTAAAAAGAAAGACAGACAAAAGTCTGAACTTACATAATACAGTATGAAGTATTAAGTGTATTACTGTTACTGGATCAGCAAACACTTCACACATGACTCTACCACATTATAACATTCATAGAGATGAATGTACCAGGTGACCCGAAAAAAATTCGTCCAAAAGAACACCGATAAAACAATCATGAATAAAGGTACAAACTCTAAAACTCCTTGAAGAAACGTGGAAAATCTAACCGGGTTTATTATGAATTATTGACAATTGAATATAATTGCCACAAACGAAGTTACACGATATCTTCCAGAGGCCCCCAATCTCGAGTAAATCACACGCTTGAGCTGTTCTCAGCTGGGTGACAAAACTTTGACCTCTTGAGAAATCTCTCTCGTGCCCTCCGTCATGGTTTCTCTTGGGTCTTGGATACCTCCGAACAATTTTCCCTGACGTCCTCTTTTTCAACAAACACCCTCATTCCAATGGTGAAATTCCAGTGAACTCAACTCCTGGTCGTTTAGGGTCCAGTTGTGCTCAGTGGGACAGACTGTCATGTAACCAAAATGGTAATTGACACAGCCCAAAACAGCTCTTGCGTCATGCGGAGTAGCTCTACCGTGCACGGAGTGCCAGTTCTTTCTCCCTTCATCATCAACTAATACATGTAGTATCAAGCTCTCCAAGGCCTCGGATAAGACGACGAGGAATTGGTCAGAATTCAACGAATCACGGACCACCTTAATCTTTTCAGGGGTGCGTTGTTTTACAAGCTGCCTGCCATGAGTTACCCAGGGCTTAGCATTTTAGTCCTTAATTTCTATGGACCAAACCCTTTCAAAATATGCTGTTTATTACGAAGTGAACATTTCGCTGGGAAAGTTATATTTGTTACAGATATCTGCCCCGTATTAATGAGCAAATAATGCATGTGTTGATTTGGGAGATAGGTCTAAACTGAAAAATCGGGTTGTACAGGGTGAACTGCATTATCGTCGTTTTGTTGTGCACGAGTAATAAATGTTTTTAAAAAAACATAATTGAAATGTATATTCTAGCTTTCGATCAATGTTGATGTCAATTGAGTTATAAACAAGAATATTATTAACATTTCTTTAAACAAACTTTTTTGGGGGGTCAGCAGGTATATTGTAAAGCACCCAAAGATATATAGTACGGATGCGGGCGCTGTAAAAGATTTTCATTATAAGAAAAAATATTCATACCGTCACATTATTATCATTATCATGGGGTTTTTTTTTTCTTTCTTTCTTTCTTTCTTTCTTTCTTTCTTTCTTCTTCTTCTTCTTCTTCTTCTTCTTCTTCTTCTTCTTCTTCTTCTTCTTCTTCTTCTTCTTCTTCTTCTTCTTCTTCTTCTTCTTCTTCTTCTTCTTCTTCTCCTCCTCCTCCTCCTCCTCCTCCTCCTTCTTCTTCTTCTTCTTCTTCTTCTTCTTCTTCTTCTTCTTCTTCTTCTTCTTCTTCTTCTTCTTCTTCTTCTTCTTCTTCTTCTTCTTCTTCTTCCCGCTCCTCCTCCTCTTCCTCCTCCTTCTCCTCCTCCTCCTCCTCCTCCTCCTCCTCCTCCTCCTCCTCCTCAGCATCATCATCATCATCATCATCATCATCATCATCATCATCATCATCATCATCATCATCATCATCATCATCCTCATTTTCATCATCATCATCATCATCATCATCATCATCATCGTTGTCGTTGTCGTCGTCGTCGTCACTATCGTCATCAACATCAATTTTAATATATAATTGAAACTAGGCTATTTCTGTTATTGATATTTTCACTTCTGTAGTTGGAATACGGTAAGAGGAGGTTTCTTATTTACCCTAAAAACAAAAACAAAACATTGCTTACTCAAGGATTAAACATTGGATTTTCTGCGCTGTCTGTCACGAATAAGGGAGACTTTGGTCAAATGATTTGTGACCGTACCAGATGTTTAGTTGACTGTTGATCTTCTCATATAGCCAGAAGGAGCCAGATTATCCGCAATGTATCATATTATCTTCTTGTATTGTTTGTTATCCTTATTTTTAGCAAATGTGAGTAAGAGGGCTCATATGACCTTGTACAGTTGCGAACGCCGAAAAAAATGTGAAAAAAACATAACAAAACAACAACAACAACAACAACAACAACAACAACAACAACTACAACAACAACTACAACAACAACAAAATGTTAGTACAACCCTATGCTCCTGTGAACATGTTTGTTCGACAAATATGCTTTTTTTCCAGAATGAATCGAAGACTGATTGAGACGATTTTCTTGATATTGTCCGGCGTTTGTCTCATTACTTCGGTTCTACTTCTTCTGAGTAAGTAGAATCAAACTGGTAGGCTTCCTTTGTTATTGTCGCACTGTTTATTCGTGTATTTAATTCGTACAATACGATGCAATTTCTTTATAAAAGGGCTAATTTCAACTTCTGCATGCTGTTAACACGTAAACTGGTGTAGAAGTGCTAGATTTTTTAATTCAGATTGACGTAGCCTACCATCTTATTTCCTTTCAGCCATCGTGGAAAAAACAACTCACAAACGAAAAAAAAAACCCTGTTACAATTGACTTGTCAATTTGTTTTAATGTAGCTTGCAGTGAGTACACTCTTTTGAAAGTCAGTGTTTGTGGCTGTGTGGTTTACGTTTCTACCTTTACAAGTGTTGATTCTTCGGAGAGACAGAACAATGATAAATAATGAAGCTAAGATAGGTGTTCGTGTTCTGATCGTCAGTCCATTCATTTGTTCCAACTCAAGCGGAATCGGACATGGCCGCCTTCAAAGTGATCTAAATTGTGTTAGGTTAACTCTTCGAGGTCGTACATTCCGTTCATTCGACAACGCCTAATGACGCGCTGTTTTAGTGCTCTTAAATTACTAATAAATAACTACGTTATTCGTACACATTTTTCGTTGAAACTTTCTTTGTTCTGATTAACTTAATTCGACAACGCTTGAGGACACGCTGTTTTGGCATACTTAAAATACTAATAAGTAACTGCTTTATTTCGTACACATTTCTCGTTCATGGTTTGCTTGTCCGAAACCTCAAAAGACTAGACAAACAACAACATGCATACGAGTAGCACACTATGAAACACACAAATTTGTGTTTCTGATTTCTGTATGATCGTTAGAATGTGTCACAGCATGGCTTTGGTCTCCTCTAGGACTTCTCATGTATCCGCATGGGGGGGGGGGGGTAGATTTATACCATACAGACACCTCCTGGGGTGGTGTCACTGACAGAAGTGTCTTTATGCCATTCCTGAAAGGGGGGGGGGCATTTTTCATTCTAATGCACTGTAGAATTGTAAACGGGCAGATCCAACAATTTCAAGCTCATAACTATGCCTTAGTGACAACAGGGAACTGATGCTTTTTCTTTCCTAATCCTGACTATCGTCGTTTCCTAGCTCTACTTCTGTTGTATGTTTGTCACTCTTGTGACCTATTATTTCCGGGGTGCCTTAATAGTCGAAGAAAATGTGCTGTTGAAGCTAAAGAGGTGAGCAGAGTAAGTCATATTCCCTGTGAAGACTTCTCTGTTGACATCCACCCCTTGGCGCTCATATGACCTTATGCAGTTGCGAGCGCAGTAAAACCTCTACTAAACCAACAACATAAGATACAGACAGTCTTGTGTCCACTCCTTCAGGTCCAGAACAGGAGGCCAGCACAGCTTCCACAGTGTTTTCTCTGTTGGGCAAGTTCTCCATCACTGGCGCCTTCAACGCACTTTTCCTGCTCACTCCTGAACTTTTCCCCACCAATATCAGGTACAGCTGTAGGAATTACTTCTTTGGTTATATTATGTTTGCTTCTTTTTTTCTTCTTTTCTTTTTTCTTTTTTAGTTTTTTAAATTTATTTATTTATTTCCTTTGCTCTGGATCTGGTCTCTCCTCTATTGAACAAACTTTGATAATAATATATTGGGCGGGCATCTTCGATTCTTCTAATCAGAGACAATCAGAACTGCGATATATACATTAAAACATATTTCTCCTCGTGGAGAATTGAACTCATGTCTTTTGAGAGGAAGACAGAAATTCAAACCCATGCACCGTGGAAGCATGTCAAGCCTTGATATGTTCTGGATAACGTCGTTGATCTGTGAACGTCTTCAGTATGTGGACATCCGCTTTAAGAATCGTAAGTGGGTCAGAGATATGGTCATTTTCGGAAGATTCTTCAGAGTTTGATTTTGCTTTGGTATTCAATAAACAGCAATATTAGCAGCCTGTGTCGTCATTGCATAGCAATTTTGACATTTAAAAAGCTCCCATATAGCCCATAACACATGCTTTAAAACAACAACAATACCGCCCCCACCCAAAAAAAGAAAACAACATACAAACAAACAAACAAACAAACAAATAATCAGCTCCAAAAATCCCCAAACAAGAAAAAACTCACACACCTTCTTGTGCATAGCATTCCATAAATGGAATAACTTTTCAGCAGTACAAACGGTACAAACATATTGTAGCGACGAGGTGAAATCAGGCGCTCGTCAATTTTGGGGCATATGTAGTTATTGGTATCATCTTAAATATTGTCCATTTGCTTTGCCTTTGATGGAGAAAAAAAATCATTTATCTTAGATATCAGTCGAGATATTTGAGGTTGAAGAAGGTGGGGTCGCCTAGTTTCAAAGGTAGAATTAGCGAGATCAGAAAATGGCCGCCATAATCTGATTATTTTCATAGCTTGATGGTCCATGGAAACTGAAAACTTACAGTTTTTGAGTCTTTACTCACAGTTTTTCCGTTAAATCGACCCAGAAATGTGTTCTTAATTGGACAACAATGGTGTTAAGCCAAAAAACAGAAATTCGATAAAATGCCAATCTGGCAAAAAAATGCTAGTTTCTTTCTTTTCACTATTTTGAAGAGCGCCTGATTTCACTACGCTGCCTCACATTTTGAAATGATACAACAGCAGTATCGGTCCTTTCTGTTTATGTTCAAAGGTCTGCCGTGTCTACATTTTACCATGTTTTGCTTCAATGTGTTATGAATACAAGAATGAGAAGCTAACGTAAATCCATGTCCCCTGTAGTAGAAAATACCTCATGGTATGATTAATTGTTTCCTCATGGAAACATAATATAGCTTCCAGGACAAGTGACGAAGATTAGAAGCATTGCTAATAAGTAACAAACAATGAAAATTGAAACGAACGAGGAGAGATAACGGTGATAGATATTCGATATGAATGAAAGAGTAAACCACACCAGAGCATTCGCCAACCACGCACATACCAGCTTCGTAATTTCATCACAACAGTTAGAAATGTATTCAATAACCACTCCGTTCATTAATGAACAGCATGTTATCCACAGGTCTATAGGATTTGGGATATCTGCATCTATGTCCAGATTCGGTGGAATGGTGGCTCCTTACTCCAGATTTCTTGTAAGTTCCACATGAATGATAAAGAGAAGGGATTACAACTGGCCAATTTTGTTTTCTCATAAATCGTGAACTAGATTTATTCTATTTCTCAAAATTAAAGCCAGCCTTGTCGAATCAGCTTTTCTTTCCGTATATCCTATTTCTTTTCTTCTCCTCCGTCGTTTCTGCCCATCCAGCTTGGTTTTTTTTATCATAAAAGAATTAATACACATACATACATACGCACACATACACACACGCACGCAAGCGCACGCACGCACGCACGCGCGCGCACACACACACACACACACACACACACACACACACACAATCAAACGAACATACACACTCAGAGGCTTACGCACGGGAAGACTCAAACATTTATCATTTCATGACTCTTTGTTAGTGTTCGCCACTGGGATTTTCAAACCTTTTTTCCCGTTATTCTATTGTTTTGTTCTACAACATATGATGTTGGAATTAACAAACTCTGAACACATTATGTAATTCTCTCTATTTGGAAAAGATCTACTCGCAGAGCATTTTTTGTAGACTCGGTGATAAACGAATCTATGGCTGGTTTCCTGCAGGCTGAGAAAGCTGTGTACGGACCGGGGACAATCTTTGGCTGTATGTGCCTCATCTCTGCCCTACTGGTCCGTCTGTTACCTGAAACCAGAGGACGTCCGCTGCCTAGCTCCATACATGTAAAAATAAATGTTATTATTATCGTCATAGCGCTAACCTTTTGGCCTAATATGTCTTTTTTTTTTTTACTTTTGACATATCTCTATAATTTTTCAGTATGCACACTTAGACATGCACACTCAAGCTTACATCCGTGCACACTCGCACAAATACACACACAGCAGCAGCAGCAGCAGCAGCAGCAGCAGCA